CAAACAAACAAACAAACAAATATTGTTTGTTTGTTATTAATCACATGCTTCACAATGAACTGTATATACTCTCCCCGAATTTTAGTGTTATAAGCCCTCAGACTTGACAGAGACAAATAGTGAGATTAATTTAAGATATATTATAACAGTCCCATCGTCTAGGTTACTTTGTGGTTTTATTTAATAAATTTGTTTGTTTGCGTATATTTATTTTTTTTTGGGGGGGGGGGGGTATATACAAAATGATTGAAATGAGTTTATTCCTATACATGAAATAAATTGTATTTTTCCTCCCTTTCTCTCTTTATGCAGGGTAGTTCTCATAACGTTGAACTTGAAGATAACATCAATGAAAGTAATAACATCCAAGCAGAGGTTCCCACGATAGATGTCAGCCGATTCCAGAGGAGAAAAGCCAGAGTTGTTGCTTCTTTTGTCGGTTGGTTGTGCCGGCCTATTGTTGTGGAATCAAACGTGGGAACCCGACCAAAACTTGCCAAGAAAATCGACAACATCTCCAAAATGCTGTTCCCCTTGCTGTTTTTGTGCTTCGCTTTGGGATTCTTCTTAACATACGCGGTGATTGAACCAATGCAAGACGAGAACTGGACTCTCACTGAGTAACAATGTGATGATAATTACTGCGCGAAACAAATAACTTCCCCTGTACACAGTAACATTCAAGAGCCAGAACATACTGCTCTGCCTATTCTTGAGTGGTGTGGTTAAAACAGGAGTACGAAAAGATAGAATGCTATGATAAAAAAAAAGATGAAAATACTCCTTATTGGATATTTTATCCATTCCGAGTTCTTCCCTCGGAGATTAAAATCTCAGTACTGTTGCAGACTGCTGTTTCTCTAATCCAACGCTGCTATGGTGACGCCCCATTAGTCCTTCTGCGAATGCCTGAATTTCTAAACAAACCATGTTCATGTCGAGATTATATGTAGGACACGTTTTATCCTCACATTTACTCATTATTCATGAGTCATTCGCTCTCTAGATTGAGATTTGCTATTTCTATATTATAATGCATGACACAGTTTTAATTTCATTTGATTATATACGTTGTTCTTTCACGTGGATAACAGTGGACACGCTTATTGGTCTAGATTGTTTGTTTGTTATG